CCCCTGACCCAGAGCAAGGAATAGATTTGAGATTTTTCACGAGGTGAAAAATATTTCGAGGCAAATTGGTCGTAGTAGTACCAATTTGAGATTTTTTGTGAGACGAAAGTTAGTTGGCAGTAAATATGTCATGAAGTTACGACTTTGGGATTTTTAACAGTAATAACTATTAATCCAATATGTTTTTCATAAGGAAAATCAGTAATTTTGAAAAACATTTTCCGCTTAAAAAAAGTAATCAATGCAGAATATTTCCATTGCCAACAACAATTCATGTCAAAATATTTTCGTCGATGAAATAAATATTTTCCGTGAATTCATTTCTTTGAGCAAAGCGAGTTGTCACACTTTTAGATAACACTTTTCAAGTCATCGATTTTTTACTAAACTAATGCACTCGGTATTAGAATGCCGTAGCGTCACCCTGACATGATCATAACTCTAAGTAGTTTGCACATAGTCAATGAGATTTGAATAAGTGAGTTCAAGTTTCTGAATTGAAAATCATCTTTTAGCAGCACCAACCTTGAGGATTTCTCCGTCATACATAATTACTTTGGGCGATCATGCCATAAATTCTTATTTAACGTATTGATTTAAGATGCCATCCAACGTTAATTGCATCCGAATCCCCATACTAAATTTCCTTGGGGTGTGTGAAGGTGAGAAGCTTTAAAAGTGTTTTGAAAACCGATAAAAGATAAGTCACCCATTCCACACTTCATGATCATGCCTTCAATTGCTCTTAAATTGGTCAACACAAGGGCCTATAGTGGATTCTCGGTATTGATTACACAGAGTACCCCACCACAACAGAGGTAACCGAGGTTACCAACAAGGACCTCCGTGGCCTGGCTATTTGACATACAGTGATGATAGACTTTACAAATACGTTCATTATTTTAACGTATCGGTGCCCGCATGCCCTACCCCTCTAAGTTAAGGGATAGTTTTGCTTCCCTTACTCCAAAGAATACACATGTGTTTAACATTTCATAGTTCGGACGAAACCTTGGCACATAAGGAATGCTCAGACTTTCTCCATCAATGATTAATCGAATCGTCTGATTCTCAGTGGTCTTCTGAAGCATTTTACGTGAATAAGCGTTCTAGGACCAACGAAATTCCTAATTTCAACGAATTAAAAAGCTGCCATTAGAGGAAGAATCATTTGGATGTCTTGGCTTTTCATTCTTCTTTTCTTTTAATATCATTATCATGAATATGGGTACATGGTACTACTGGAATTGGCCGTCCTCCACTGCGTATGTGACCAAAGAAGGAAACCCATTTTCTAGTAATTGTACATCTTTTTGTCTCTTTGCTTATTTTACGCTCTATTTGGAAAGATGGAGAGAGGAAAATGAGTAGGATAGAACATAGGACAACATTTAATGTTAGGGCACGACATAGGATCACATTTAACGTTAAGGTACAGGGTAGGACGACATTTAATGTTAAGAAGACAGTCAGTAATTTGACCTTATTGGCCGCTTTTGATTTTGAGATTGCATTTAATCGAACGATAAGATATAATAAAAAAATATGGCCCATTATCTTAAATCTAGCTCCCCATTGACTCTTTATTTGAAGTCACTCTTGTTGGAGAAAAAAAAGTTCTAGTCGTAAGCTTGGTGGATCTTGTCCATGGCATCTCTCGACGAGCGGTGGTCTACAGCTTCTAATTATGATCAAAAGGCAAAATCTGGCCTGAGAGATTCAATCTAGAGATCTTTTTGACTTTGTTGGTGAAGTGAAGAAGATTATTTTTCAAGTTGCGGCTCAGAAAAGAAGATAATGAATAGTGCTTCAAAATCCAATTAACAAGCCACGTGGATTTATTGCCGAGATGGAATAGTCAAGTTGGACTATCAGTGGTTCTAAGTCAAGAGGGATCAGATTTGGGATTTAAATGAAAGTTTGTGATTTTTTACGAGACAAAAAAATTTATGGCCAAAATTGGCATTAGACCTAAAATTGGTGTTTTTTTTTATTTTTAAAGTAGACCCAATTTGCTAGGATTCGAATAGGTGAACTCCAATTTATGAACTAAAAGTCCTCCAACGCACTAACCAATTGCGTATTGACTCACAAATAATGAATGATTTGAAAAACATTTTTCTAAAAATATCTGCTCGTATCGCTTACAAGAATAAATGAGCGAAAAATATTTTCATTGTCTACGTAAATGTTTCGTCATAGATTGTTGTTGACAATGAAAATATTTTTCATCGACTAATTATTTCAAGCGACACAAGCGATTATTTTTTAGAAAATATTTTCAAAATCATTTATTTTTTGCGAAACGAACAGAGCGTCTACGTTGGGGATAGGGATTACACCCTTTCTTATTGCAATTGCTCATTTATATATAAATGCCAATTTCATTCCACGTCATCTATTGTATTCCTTCGAATTGTCGGCAAGGCTCGTTTGCTTTGGAAAATGGCAAACTCTTGCACAGAGAGCTCGAACGAGATAGCATGTGCGTTCAGGTGCTCACACCACCACCACCTCATTTCGCTTGGAGCATGTGATACCCCGCATGCTTCGATTATGTGTCTTTAGAGCTTTGTCACTTCTCCTAATACTGCTGTGAGATAAGGTTGATGCCGCTCAAAATTTCAAATTGGTATTCCGTAACACATTTTTTCTGAATTAATTTATATCTCACAAATAATTTAAAATTGGTACCCGTGGCATAGTTGCCCCAGACAAATTTTCATCTTGATGGGAAACCTTAACCCAGAGCAAACATATCGGTTTGAGATTTTTCGCAAGATGAAAATTATTTCGAGGCAAATTGGTCGCAAGAGGTGCCAATCTTAGATTTTTTTTGTGAGACGAAAGTCAGTTTGCGTTGTGAAGTTACCGCTTCGGGATTTTCAATGGTAACAACTATTAATATAATATGTTTGTCGTATGGAAAATCAGCGATTTTGGAAAAATATTTTGGGAAAATGACACAAACAGTCCCTGAACTTTGACTCAATGTGCAATTTGGTCCCTGAACTTTTAATTTGTTCAATGTAGTCCCTGAACTTTAACCTAATGTTCAATTTGGTCCCTGAACTTTTAATTTGTTTAATGTGGTCCATGAACTTTTAATATGTGTTCAATTTAGTCCCTGAACTATATGAAAATGTTCAATATAGTCCCTACACTTGAACATTTTCAAATAGTTCAGGGACTAAATTGAACACATATTAAAAATTCAGGGACCACATTGAACAAATTAAAAGTTCAGGGACCAAATTGAATATTAGGTTAAAGTTTAGGGACTACATTGAACAAATTAAAAGTTCAGGGATCAAATTGCATATTGAGTCAAAGTTCAGGAACTGTTTGTGTCATTATCCCAAATATTTTCCCTTTAAATAAAATTTTCATTGTCGATAATAATTTTATGTCGAAATATTTTCATCGGTAAACAAAATACTTTCTGTGAATTCATTGCTTCGAGCTATGCGAGCTGTCACCTTTTTAGACAAGACTTTTCAAGTAGTGGATTTTCTGCTAAACAGACACGCCGGTGTTAAGAATGTTAAAAAAAAAAAAAGATGGCTATGCATTAATGTCTTGGGCTACTTTCTCTCCATAAATGTCAAAACCAATGACTAAGGGCTCGTTTGGTAACGTGCCAAATAGTAAAAATTTCTGTTCTTTTGTTCCCAGAAATAGTTTGGGAACAGAAATGCGTTTGGTAAACTTTTTGTTCCTCGGCACATTTTTGCAAAAATTTGTGCCGAGAAACAGTTTTGGAAGAGAAACAATAAGTAAAAAAAAGTTGCTTCTTGTTTCTCGGCACAATTTTGAGAATCAGTTTTTTTTCTTTTTTTTCTTTTTTTTCTTTTCTTATTTTTGTTCTTCCTTGGCTGAGCCGGCGGCCGGCGAGGGCGTCACGGCCCTCGCCGGCGAGGGCGAGGGCTGGACCCTCGCCGCCTGGGCGAGGCGGCCTCGCCCAGATCGAGCGAGGCCGAGCCTCGCCGTCGCGACCCACGGCGAGGTCGGCTTTGCCGTGGGTCGCGACGGCGAGGCTCGGCCTCGCCAGATCTGGGCGAGGCCGAGCCTCGCCGTCTCTGGGCGAGGCCGCCTCGTCCAAGCGGCGAGGGTCCAGCCCTCGCCCTCGCCGGCGAGGGCGACCCTTGCCTCCGCCGCGGCCGGCGAGGTCCGTGACGCCCCGCCGGGCTGGGCCGCAGATGGCCTGGCCGGGCGGCGACGGCCATGGCCAAAAAAGAAAGTAGAAAATTTTTTTTTTTTTAAACAATTCAAAATATTATTAAAATATTATTTGGGAACAGAAATTTTGTGTAGTTACCAAACGCATTTCTATTCTTTTCTACTCTAGGAATAGAAATTTTGGACAGTTTATCAAACGCCTTCAAATACCCAGAAATTATTTCCGGGCACAGAATCAAAAAAAATCATTTCTGTTCAGAAATAGCGCCGGGGCACAGAATGGTATTCATGCGCACCCTAAGTGTGGAGAATCACCTAGACTCTCCTCATGACTAACATTAGGACGTGAAAATTATTTGCCCAAAACCCAAATATAATCCATAAATAATTAAAATAATTTTTTTCTTAATGAAACCGGGGGAGATGTCGCACGTGAAGCATTTGGACAACACATCGTGTCACTTTTTTACTTGTACTTCCCATGGTCAGCCGTGAAATGAAATCTCTTGCCATCTTCTTTTTTTTTTTCCTTCTTGCTTGCCATCTTATTTGTTTTTGGTCGGATTCTCACCATCTCTTGAAGGCAAGTAAAATGTGGGTTTCATTTCAAAAAGAAAGGGGCGATTTAAATTTCCGAAAGAAGGCAAAAATTAATTAAAAAGATTTACTTTCCCCTAAAGTCAAGATTTTGGACCCGAAAATCGCATTTACTGCACACATTTTGCGAACATGTCCAAAAAGAAAAAGTTGCGCGCCTAACACGAAAAATGGGATCAAACAAAGAACAAACACACGAACAACACAAAGCCCACCAAAGTGGATAAACTCGAAACATGTCGTACGATCTTTATTCCCTAAATTTTTATAATTTTTGCTGAGTCATGCGAGCTTTTTAATTTCATAATAAGACACGAATTCGGAGCTTTTCCGAAATTGAAACTTTACCCAATTTGCCCCTCGCGAAAGCAAATTCACCAAATTTGCTTTTTTCCCATTTTTTTTCCATTTCTGAGCCCAAAAAAGAAAAAGAGAGAATAAAAAAAGGTGAAAAGAAGGAGAGAAAACGGAGGTGAAAATGAAAATTAAAAAAAAAGAGGACAAATTGACTTGTTTTTTTTTCCCTCTCATTTTGCTTTCTCCGCTTCCGCTTCCTCCGCTTCTGCTTCTGCTTCGTCGTCCTCCACCTTCTTGCAAGAAGCATCGTCGTCGCAGTCGCTGCCTTCCTTGGGGCTCTCCAGCGCCCTCTTCTCCTGCTCCTCCTCCTCCTCCTCCTCCACCGCCACCCCGTTCAGCTCGCGCTCCTCCCTCATCCCTCCTCCGTACTTCTCGTTCCTCTCCGCCCTCGCCCTCAGCGCCTCCAGCAGCTCCCCCACCGCCCTCTCCTTGTTCCTCCGGTTCTTGATCAGGACCTCGCTTATGTCCGCCGGCGTCATCTTGGCCTTCTCCACCGCCTCCCGGAGCTTGCCCGCCGCCGCCGTATCCCCGCCCAGGAGGTCCTCGGCCTCGCTGCCCAGGTAGTTCCGGAGCAGGATCTTGAGCGCCGGGTACGAGCAGTAGCTCATGTAGATGTGCATGTCCATCCGGCCGCTCCGGAGCAATGCCGGGTCGAGCTTGTCGATGTGGTTGGTGGTGAACACGAAGATCCTCTCGCTCCCGCAGCACGACCACAGGCCGTCGGTGAAGTTGAGCAGCCCCGAGAGGGTGATGGTGTTGTTGTTCCCGTCCTCGCCGCCGCCGCCGCGCGCGGCGTCGGCCGCACCGGGGTCGTAGTAGCTCCGGGACGCGGGGGCGTGGGGCGCTTTGGACCTGTTCGACAGATTGACTGAGCAATCGATGTCCTCGATGACGATGATGGACTTGGAGCTGGTCTTCATGAGGAGCTTCCGGAGCTCGGAGTTGGAGTGCACCTCCGTCAGCTCGAGGTCGTAGATGTCATAGCCGAGGAAATTGGCCATCGCGGCGATCATGCTCGATTTCCCGGTCCCGGGCGGGCCGTAGAGAAGGTATCCCCGCTTCCAGGCCCGGCCCGTCCGCTGGTAGAAGGCCTGCCCGGCCGCGAAGTCGCGGAGGTCCTCCATGATTTGCCTCTTCCTTTCTGGGTCCATGGCCAGCGTGTCGAAGGTGCTCGGGTGCTTGAACGGCACCGATTCCCAAGGGTGGCCACGAGAATCGAGTGACCCGCCGCGCGAATTAGTGTAAAGGAGGCGTTCTTGGTTCTTGCGGCGGATGTCGTTGGCCTTATCCATGATGTAGTCGAGGTAGGAGTCGAGGATGAGGTCCTTGTCGCGCTTCCGGATCCGGAGAGTGAAGCCGCGCTTCTCGTCGGGGAGGGGACGCCACGAGAAGTTCTGGGACTGGCGCTGCGTCACCACGTGCTCCCACTGGACGGCAACCCCGTCAAAGACGTCGTTGATGCAGTCGTTGTTGGAGAGGCCGAAGGTGGTGGCGCTGGAGTTGACGGCGCGGGTGAGGGAGAGGCGGCTGCCGGAGGCGGAGACGAAGGAGCTGAGGTAGAGCTGGACGGCGTTGTAGAGCTCGTTGGTGTTGACGCCGTCGATCTCAGTGATGTCGTAGTAGCAGTAAGAGGAGAAGCAGTTGAGGGCCCGGTTCAGGAACTTGAGGGAGGCGAACCGGAGCTCCGGCGGGAACACCATCTGCAGGAGGCTCTGGCAGAAGGCCAGGACGCCCAGCAGGGAGGCCAGGGATGTCCAGAACTCCTTCATTTCCGCCTCTCTGTCTGTCTGTCTGATCTGTGACTGCGCGAGTGTCAAAGTTGAGATTTTTCTGGAGATCTCTCTCTGGGGTGTGGAAGAAGGAGACGATGGAGCAGAGTTGGGGGGGAGTGGAGGGTGAGGGAGGATGGGGATTTGGGTTTTTTTTCTGGGGAAGTGAATTTTTTCCTGAGGAAGGGACAAAGGGGTCTAGGATTATTTATAGGGGAGGGGGGTGTTGTGGGTTCTGATGTTTCAATGAAGGGCATGTAGAAACTTGGGGAGTTTGTGGAGAGAAAGAGAGAATAAAGCAAAAAAGTGTCAAGAAAGCTATAGTGAGAGAGAGAGAGGGAGGGAGAGAGAGAGAGAGAGAGAGAGAGAGAGAGAGAATGGTTTTGGGTTTTGGGGATGAGAGGGATTGGCTGACTGGCTATTATAATTTTTCGTTTTTAGTATAAGGGAGAACAGCTGGTGGAGAAAACAACAAGGAAGGGAAAAGGCTTCTTGGACCTCTGAGATTTTACACAGAGAGAGAGAGACAGAGAGATATTTGGGGCCCGATTGCTACCGGGTTTTGGGGTCGGAAACTTTATCCCCGTATTTTATTATGGGAAGCTTTGTACAGCTTGCTTGCTGCTGCTGCTGCTGATGCTGCTGCGAAGCGAAGGAGACTGCGGCGATGGTGAAATGAGAGAGATGGCAGAGACAGAGATACAGAGAGACAGAGAGAGGGAGAGAGAGACAGAGGGTGTGATGTATAGGGAAGGGAAACGTGGGATTGGGAATGGACGGGGTTCTATGGGAACATCATGCGGTCCAATGCGATGATACGCTCGCGCAATTGATGATGATGCCTTACCAAAGCAAATGGGTGTGAGATATGACCATGAAATCACATCCCCTGAATCCTCTAAAATTTCCTCCCTTTTACGGTTTCTTCTTTCCCTTTAAAGCCCTGGCCGTGCACACCACCGAAAAGGGAAACAAATCCCTGAGCAAATTCCAGTAATCTCTTCGATTCGGTTTCTAGATTAGGGTTCTTGAGAAGCAACCATCACCGAAATCCTAATTAGGAAGGGGATGCGCCAACAACCCCATTCGGCGGGTCACTTTGCTGGTTGATGGGGATGCAAGGCCCTGGCTGAGTGGCTGTGCGTGTAATAAATCTTTGAGAAAATGCGGTAATCTCTCTGTCGCGACCGACCTCCACACTCTTCAATTCGGTTGCTAAATTAGGGTCCTTGAGAAGCACCCATCACCGAAATCCGCACTAGGAAGGGGATGCGCCAACACCCCCCATTTGGCAGGTCACTTTGCTGGTCGATGGGGGTGGCAAAGCCCTGGAAAGTGCAATGAATCTCGAGAAAATGCAGTGATTTCTTCAATTGGATTGGGTTTTTTAGCTAAATCAGGGTTCTTGAGAAGCACCCGTCACCGAAATCCTCATCAGGAAGTGGATGCGGGCGACGCACCAAACACCCCATACGGCAAATGCAACTTTGCTGCGCGATGAAGGAGGGCCGCAGCGCAAGTGACAAGAAAAGGGTCGAAGCCAGGCCCCCCCCCCCCCCCCCCCCACACACACTTCCACCTTTTTGGCAACACATGTCATGCACGATCTTTTTGCCTCGGCCGGTCTGCTTCGTCGCCATTGAATGCCCGAGATTCTGTTCTCTCGTCGGATCCGACCTTTCGATCTTGCTCGAAACCGGCGACGCCCCCGCCCCACGCCATGCCACCTTTTCTCAGCCTCTACTTCTCTCTGCCTAGTAGTGCCTGGGGACGTATCCTCTTGGGACGAAGGAACCAGATCTCCGAGCCCCCCTGCCCTGCTCAACCCTCCTGCAAAATTAATCTAATCTTCATCGATAACGGCGCTTCCCCTCTCCTCTGCCAGGCTGGGTCCTCTCGAACTTTTTGCTCCTCGGACTGAACACCCCTCTTGAGCTGAGACTCCAATCTGGCGATTAATTATCATAAATCTCATCAATTTTCAATCTTTTCTTGGGGGTTTACAGGTGTCGAGATCGCAGAGGTTTCAAGGGCTCGACCCCCCTTCCTCCTCCTCCTCCTTCGATTCCATCGAGAAGGCAGGGCAGAGAGAGGTTGGTTATGATGGGGGAGCGTGCAGCAGTGCAGGGATGTTCCGGTCCTTCCTTAGGTTAGGCTGTCTGAATTCTGACGCGTCCCAGACACGTCTCATCCAATTTTTTTTCTGATTAATTAATTAATTTCGACCAAATTAATTAATTGTTTCTTTCCCTCCTTTTCCTCCCTCTTCCGGATCATTTAATTTGCTGCGTTTTAATTTATTGATTTTCTCCCTTTTTCCATCTTTTAGGCTCAGTCCCTAAAAAATGGTTTTTTTTATTTATTTTTATTAAAGAGGGTTACGTATTTTTATTTTTTTGCTGGTTATTTAATGGTTTGTCGCAGCCACTACTGTGCTGATCTTCACGTTGCCGCAGCCACCCCCACTCTCCCCCCCCCCCCCCTCCTCACTCGCGCCGACGTGGCGCGTGAAGTTCAGTTCAGTTCCCATTTTTCAAAAAGGGCCAAGGGAAGGAATTATTGTTTAGTTCGAGAGGGAAATAATTCTTCGACATATGATTTCTTTTCCTATTTTTGCCAAAAGCAAAACATGGGCAAGTACTTCAGTTTCAGTAGACATAGTAAAATTATCATAAGCATACAATTTTAGGATTTCTTTGATCAAAAAATTAATTTACGATAAATTTATCACAAGTGTATTAATTCGGAATTTTTCGTAATATTAACCATTTAATTTACTTTCGGCATTTTAATTTGACTTTCGTTTACTTTCGAATGCCTCGACATTAAAAATACATAAAGGGTCGACGAGCACAGTAAACAATGAGACAACTCATCTGGCTCTCTCATCGAAACCTAAAAATGTTACTCAAATTATAAAAAACTATCAAAAAAAAATTAGTACATGAATCTTGGTGTTTAACATTTGAATGCTATGAAGATTTCGGGAGTTTCGAATAATAAAAAAATCAAATTGCACGAGCCGTAAGATTTTTAATTAAATAAAATATAAAAAGTCAAAAAAAAATTTAGATAGGAACTTCTTAGTCTTTGGATCATTTAGAACTTCCCCGAAAATAAATCAACAGGGTTTTTCTTTTTCTTTTTTTTTTGCCCGTTTCATTGCATGTTTTTTTGGGTCAAAAGTTTCGTGGCCTAATTCCAAAAAAAAACATTAACTTTAAGTCGAGTGACAATTTTAACATCAACTTTTTTTTTGTCTAGTAAAAAAACAACTTTAGGTTGAGTGACAATTGTAGCTCCAACTTTTTTTTGTCTCATAAAAAATCATCAACTTTCACTTAAATCCCAAATATGGCCCCCCTTGACGTAGAACTATTGATTATCCAACTTGATTATTCCACCTCAGCAATAAATTCACGTGGCTTGCTGGCTGGATTTAAAGTACTATTCATTATTTTCTTCTTTGATCCACAGCTTGAAGAATGACGGTGAAACTGTTCGTCTCCTTTACTTCACCGGTAAGTCAAAAAGATCTCCAGGTTGAATCTCTCTAGTGAGATTGTAATTTGAAGTTGTAGACCACTGTCCGTTGACAGAGTCCAAGGACGAGATATGCCAAGCTCACGACCATAACATTTTTTCTCAAATAAGGATGACTTCAGAAAGAAAGTCAACGAGAGGCCATATTTGGAATAAGGGTGAAAGTTGGTGATTTTTTATGATATAAAAAAAAGTTGGGGCCAGAATTATCACTCAACCTAAAATTGATACTTTTTTACGAGATAAAAAAAAAGTTAGGGTTAGAATTATCACTTGACCTAAACTTTGTATTTTTTTTTTTTGAAATTAGCCCAAAGTTTCATTGCACTAATAGGTTGGAAACTTTTTTTTTTCTTGGCTTTTGGGTCAAAAGTTTCATTGCATTTAGTAGGTTGGAAACTTGAGAACAAGAGCGCGTGAGTTGAAGCCGAGGCCCCAGAGGGAAAAACGAGACGCCTAATATTTTAAAATAGTAAGACGTTAAAAAGGAAATCAGGCGATGGGAAGAGGCGATCAGAATCACAAAAACTGGGCCCAACCCCCGCCTACAAGTCCCTTCCGTTTCTCGTTTGTTTCTTTCTTTCTGACAAGTGAATGAACCGATCAGCAAGAGAAAATAAATTATTTCAATACAATAAAATAAAATAAAATCAGATTTGGGTTCTTCAAAATTGCTCTGAAAAGGTAAAGCAACTGGTATTAGTAATTCCGTACTCCGAATGATGGGAGACTTATATTGGCATTAATGTTGCGGTGTTCGTCTGATCGAGAATGGATGTGTATACCACATCATGAACGAACCAGACTTAAACCTGGCTCGTAGCCGTTTTTGTTCATTTACTGAGTTCGACGTGGGGGCTTTGTCGTGATGACGAGTTGTTTCTGCCGATCACTTTCAAGCTCCCCCTCTAAGGAAGCAAAAGAAACCAACTAAATTACGTTGTAACGGCATTTTCAGATCCGAGTTCCCGCATAAATCAACGTGTCCATAATCGGGGTACAATGGAATCTGACTTTAGGACTTTCGGAACAGTAGGAATAAACATACAGTAGAATCGAATTGCACTTAAACCTAGCTCGTAGCTGTTTTCGTTCATTTAGCGAGTTTGATGTCGAGGCTTTACCGTCACGAAGAGTTGTTTCTACTGATCGCTTTCGCCCCCCTTTAGGAAGCAAAGGAAACGAACTAAATTACGTAGTAATGACATATTTAGATCCGAGTTTCCACATGAACCAACGTGTCCATATTCAGGATACGGTGGAATCTAACTTTAGGACTTTTGGAGCCTTATGAATGAACGTACCAAGACAGATGAAGAAAGTAAGCGAAGATGATAGCGACGGAGTAATTATTTGATTCACAAATGAGATTAAGGATTTATCGAGGATGAACCGACACCTTTTTGATAGTTTGATAGTTGAAGACGGTGGCATTTTCTTTTCTTTTTATAAAATAGAAGGATTGAAAAACGCGATCAACTTAGCAAAGCCCTCTAGACTTCATCAAAAGGGTCAAACAATCTACGTACAAGGTTCAATTGAGTCACCGTGTTTATGTATCACCAAAGTTCTAAAGATCCGAAAACTTATTCATCAGCACAAGAATCATGCGTTGCCACTGCGAGTAGGTTCGATCTTCTAACCTGGTGGGTGAAAAAGCTGAGTGACGTATCGATGCAGTGCCTTAGGATGGGTAAAAGTGTAGACCTATTTAAGATCCATTTACAATCCATATTTAATTGAGCTTTACGACTCAAATCCATAACAACTCAATTATTAAATTAGGCTAATCCATA